TATATATATATATAGGTAACTATCTCGTTTCGAAAAAGCTTTGAACTTTTGATTTGCCAATAAACAAATCAATCTCAAGGAAAAAAAGGTTTTAAAAAGAAAGAGCTACAAACATGAAAGTCTGTCGAAAAAAAATCGCACAGATACAGGTTTGAAGCCCAAAGAAAAAACCTCGACACGAGTAAACAACTAACAAAAGAGCTCAATACAACCATAGAGCAGTCCTAGATAAACCTAGTGAGCCAGACAAACCTACACAGGTTTCACCTAAGCGGATCGTCAGGGAAAGCTGATATATATATTGAGAGAGAGAAAGAGAAAGATCGTCAGGGAAAGCTATATATATATATATATATATATATATATTGAGAGAGAGAAAAAGAGAGAGTGAAGGGAGAGAGAGAGAGAGAGAGAGAGAGAGAGTGAGACAGCTCAGTCACAGAGAGAGCTACATCCCAGCAAGATTATATTTACCTTGTTAAGGTATACAAATCACCTTGATCCTTGAAAGGGTAAATAGAACATTGTTGGGCTCTGAAGATCTCCGTGGCTGAACGGGTCTAAAACACAGCGGAACAAACGGTTGTTTCTCATATATTAATTCCAATACAAAATGGCTAAAACTTGTTTTACGGTCTACGTATTGATCAAACTACTGGAATTGATCGATTTCTGAGTAGACTTTATTCATAGCTGATTTATACAAAATGTATCCCTGTGGCAGTTAAGAATAAGTTTGAAGTACCCCATTTTTTTAATCATTTCATCCCAAGCAAGGCGACAATGCCACTAGAATGCATGGGGTTACTGGGAGTGAAAATGAAAGGGAATGGGGAGACTGAGAATAGAAAGGATTGAGGAAGAAAACAGCAGATGGCAATTGACGTCGCATTTAAAATTTTGAAGATTGTAGTTATCAGAGAAGCAAATAAACGGAAAGGTGTTCCACGGGCGGGAAGTGCGAGAAAAGAAACTGTTAGAGACGTGGTCGTTGCATTTAGCTAGTTCAACAATAAAACAATGAAACCTAGCTGCCAATCTTTTTGCACGCTTAAATTCATCTAATCGGATCACCAGGGGAAAAAAAAAACTCATCACAGTAGTTGCCATGAAAATATTTGTTGAAAAGATACCGTTACGTCGGTTAGAAAGTGACTGAAGTCGAGATGCCAGGTCAGGATCTATTTTATTACAGATCCATCTTTCGATTTTGTAAAGAATCTCGAGATGTACAGCAGGAACACCAGGCCAGATATGGCAACAGTATTCAATGCACGGGAAAACGGTAGATTTATAAATGTGCAAGATGGCTTCTGATGTCACGGTGAACCAACGTTTTTTTGTTTTTTTTTTTCATTAGATGCAGCAATTGATTCGATGTAGTCGTTCCACTTTAAGTCAGTGGAAAACCTGAGGCTAAGATGACGTAGAGTTTAACATTAGCCATGATAATGCCGAGCAGAAAAGGTTTTTTATTGTCATGGGTCCTTACCTATAACTACAGAATGAACTCTTCTTAACACTCTGTATACTACGCCTCTCAAGAGAGAGGGTCGAATCGAGTCGAGCCGATAGTTGTTCACTACAAACCAGACTGACAGTCATACTAACACCTTCCATATCTTGTATTATTATTTCGTGTAATATACCTTCGTTATTTCTACTCTTGTGTTCGTGTTGTTCTTCCTTGGTCCTAACCTGAGCCATAACATTTATGGTGATTAAATGGTTAAAACGTTCAAATATACAAGTCATTTCTTGCTCCAGTTAACTATTAATAGGCAGTCCTTTTCAAGAGCAGTTGTCAGGTTTACTTTGTTGTGTCTCTTGGACTTGCTACTAAAACAGCAGTAAATAGTTGTGTCATCGGCATCAAGACCAAGTTGAGAACTTTTGACCTCGGGTAGATCATTCATGAAGATCATAAAGAGCATACTTGTTTTTGCATAGCAATAGTCGCGTCTATTTGTTAATTTCTTATTATATTTTCTCATATGAATGAGTGTCTTCTTTTAGGAACGTAGTCAGTGTAGAAATTGTACAAATGTTTCGGCTTATCTATAAACCATTTTCAAGTATTTTATTTGTACACTTACGCAACATTTATAATAGTAGTATAATAAATGCCATACACACACACACACACACACACACACACATATATATATATATATATATATATATATATATATAATTTTCATTATGACAAGGTACTGCGATTAAGCACTTTATTTTATTTTTCTTGTGTTCGTATACGTATTTTCTTTCTTGTCCAAATTTATATATTCGAGCGCTTTCGGCTTTCTGTTAGCCATTATCAAGGATGTTTTTTTTTTTTTAACTTAATGTATATATATTTATATATGCTTTGTCATATGCCCTAGTCGACGAATGGGTTTATAAGGCGATCATACGCAGACCAGAAGATATATACATTATGTGGAGAGATACAGGCTATCTCTCTCAGATCATGACAATGGACAATTAGTAAACAAAAAAATATTTTAAAGAACACTGTTCGATTAGAATAATCGAACAGTAATCTTTTCCCAGGTTTGCTTTGGTTTCAACACGAATACTGATCCACAATTCAAGGATGAACGATAAGGCGTAGTGAATTTTGATATAAGAACTTTAATATGTACAGATATATAAAATATTAAAATAAAAGAAAATATAAGCATGAGTAAAACATCCAACGACCAGATCTCAAGACTTATGTTGGGATATCAAAATATGCCTAACTCCAAATGGATTCAACTGAACCTGAACGGATAAAAAATATAAGTATGAATAACTACGAATGCAGAAATCAACACATAACCAAAAGAGATGAGATAGGAGTTACATATTATTATTTTGACATGTGGAAAGGTGTTTGTAAGAACATAATATTTATGGATGCATGTGTATCTTTCTAACATGGGTCCAAAATATATGATTACTTATCTTTATAATCAGTTCTCTTTTTTATCATTGTCCTTTCTTTTTTCTTTCACGTTTCCTCTTTTCTTTCCCTTTTTTTCTCTTTCTTGACACAAATACGATTTCACACACTGTCCATTGTAACAGAGATATACACTTTCTTCCTCTCTCTGGTTTTCTTCTTTCTTTCTTTCTTTCTTTATTGCACAATTCAGCTTGTAACAGAGATATATACTTTCTTCCTCTCTGATTTTCTCTTTTCTTCAAATGCAGTTTGTATTCTCAGTGTACAAATTCCTTTGCGTCTTCTGTGATAAATAACGCGAGTTACCGTCTTCAATTTGGGGTTATCGAACAGAAATACATGTTCTTATATTTCTTGTCCGGAGTTGCCTGGGATGAATCGGACAAGTTCCATCATTATCAAATGAGTCTCATCTTTCTGTTCATAAGTTATCAGCGCTTCGATTTCGAGTCTTGCTCCTTCAAAGACAAGACAGCAACTGACTCCCAAGTAATTTTCTAACTCTCACGCGTTTTGGCGCGAATTCCAGTTTACATCAGTCCCCTGTCTAGCTTCTGTCTAGACAACTGTTGCTACGGGCAATTGGGTCAGTCAACCTTTTGACTTGCTTTCCCAAAATGTCTCAAGACTTTCACGTGACCTCTTCTGTTGTCAGGCGGAGATTAACCTTAGTATATGCGTGTATGCGTGTTTGGGCTATCTTCATCCGTCACAGTTTCTAGAGTGATGGGAATGTATTTTTTTTTAATTATTTCTCAAACACGGCTAGCACATTGTGGCTGTGATCTTAGTTGATTTTATTGATTTTTTTATTAGTTCTTTTTTTTTACATGTGGATTATAGTTGTATTATAGTTGTATTTTCTACAAGTATGTTACGGATGGACTTTGGTAGATTTCCGCGTGTTTTTAAATGAGCCCTAATTGAAGAACTATGGTCAGAGGGATATAACATGGATCTTTTTGATAGGCACGTAGTGATATGTCCAATATAATTGTTCATGAATTTTGATTGACCAAGAAAACAGTTCTTTAAGGAACATGTGAATTCATAAATAATATTGGTTTTCTGTAATTTACATCTTGCAAGGTGTGTGGTTATGGTTGATAATAAGGTTAGCTGTTTTAATTTTGTTATAATAGATAATTTAATTTTCCTTTTTTGGTCAGTCGGGGTTGTGGATTTCTTTATAATGTTCTCAAGAGAAACTTCACACACACACACACACACACACACACACACACACACACACACACACACACACACACACACACAGCAGTTTGTAAGCCCGGATTTCACGCTTTTGCGTGGGGTTACAAACTACTTTTTTTCAACCACATATGATAACTCTATCACGGATATTAAACACTTTCCTCTAAATACCGCATATATATATATAAATATATATATATATATAATTCTAAGGTATGCTGCATTTATGTGTTAAAGTGGTCAATATCAGAGATAGAGCGTATGTAAATATAAAATTGAACATTGAAGTCAACATCCATTTTATATATATATATATATATATATATATATATATATATATATATATATATATATATATATATGCAGAATGACTTAACCCTATCAAGGCTGATAATATTAATATATTAATATTTTCTGTAATATGTAAAATAGTGATGGACGAATGATTTTCCCAAGTCTTCGATAAACAAATTATTTCTCTGTCAGCTATTGTAGCATACCAGTAACGAAACATTGGAATATAGGGCCATAGCAGAGTATTCAGAGAGAAGTGGTTTCATGCCTTTCCATTTATGTCTGTTATAGTTATTTTACATTTGCGACAGTGGTCTGTTTCTCATCCCAGCGTTTCTGGGAATTATTTCCAAAGCTGGCAGGCATGACCCACTTCAATGATTGCTGCAATACAATCTTCCAAAGTTCAGCCTAATTACATTTGGTATTATATGTATGGGTGCGGTAGCTGGGCATTTTCAACTTGTGCTAGGTGTTCGTGTTCGAACCTAGGTAAAGGCAAACGCTGATTTTCAAGGCAGAGAGAAAGTTCCTAGTTAAAAGATTAGTGCAATACAAAGAAAGAAAGAAAGAAAGAAAGAAAGAAAGAAAGAAAGAAAGAAAGAAAGAACCGAAGAAGAAAGACGAGGAAGAAAAGTGAAGAAAGAACAGGAAGAAGAAGTAAAAAAAAAAAGGAAAAAGAAGAAAAGATAAGGGAGGAGAGCGAGGGAAAAGAATGGAACAAGCGAAAGGTGAGAAAAAGAAAACGAAAGAAAGAAAACAAGAAAGAATGAAGATAGACACTGAAGAAGAATGACGAAGAAGGAAAGAGAAAAGCAGAAAATGAAAGCTTTATGAAAAAGTGAAGAAAAAGAAAAAGAAGAAAAACCAAAAGAAGAAAAGATAAGGGAAAGAAAAGATAAGAGCGAAAGCAAAAAACAAAACCGGCAGGTGAGGATAAGAAAAAGGAAATGGAAGAAAGAAAGAAGAAGAAGGAAAGAAAAATAAGAAAGGAAAAAGTTGACGAAAGAGTGAAGAAGAAGAAAAAATATAAAGAAAGGAAGAAAGAAAAAAAGAAAGATAAAGGCAGACGAAAAAAAGAGGAAGTAGAAATACTTGTGAAGAATTGACGCAAAAGTGTCAAATAAAAATAGGGTGAAAATGAAAAAAAAAAAAAGAAAAATTCCAAAAAAGACTGAAGAAGGTAGGGAAACGAAAAAGAAGAAACAAAGAATAAAAATCAAATAAGAGTGAGAGAGTAAAGAAAGAAAGAAAGAAAGAAAGAAAGAAAGAAAGAAAGAAAGAATAAAAATCAAATAAGAATGAAAGAGAAAGAGAGAGTAAAGAAAGAAAGAAAGAAAGAAAGAAAGTGAAAAACAAACAAACAAAAAAGAAAGAAAGAAGAAAGAAAGAAAGAAAGAAAGAAAGAAAGAAAGAAAGAGCGAAGAGAAAAGTAAAAAAAAAAGAGAAGATAAATAAAATAGAGAATAAGTAAAAAGAGGGCTGGTTTCAAGAAAGATCGATCCAAATTTGTATTTTTCTGTATTTCTGTGAAAACACCTGGCGTTGTCGAGCTGTAAAAGATGATTTTTCGCTGTGAAATTGTTAGCTTCTTTCTTTAATTTATTTTCATTTTGGTCAGTTTAATCAAAAACAACAACTAAAAACAGACTGTCGGACATAATAAGAACAAACAGAAGAAAAACATTCCTACTTGAATGCCGTTTATCAACATTTCTTGCCTTTCATTACATCGCTTTAGCTGATTTCTTCGTATTCTTCGGATGCTAAATTAGTAGTGATCTATTCGAATAAAGAGACAATACATTAAACGTTACGGATGAGAAGGAGAGATAAAAAAAAATGACCAAATTTATTACGAGCTACAAAGGACAGGAAATTGTGGAGAGCCGTGATCATGAAGACGAAGAAGAGGTTGCAATTATAAACCAGATATAAATTTTACAAGGCAGTGGAAATTTGTCACAGATAGGGAAGACCGTTTTTAAAGAACCAGCAGCTTAGTAGGACGCATGGAATTTGGTATACATGCCTTTCACATGAAAATTAACGTGAAAGTGATGGAAAATCTGTATATATTACTGAAATGTAACTATTTACACTATTTACATTGTTCGGACTGTTGTCCGCATCTTTATTAATATATTCACGACGTTTCGGTCGTTATACGCTCTGGCTTTCTTCAGAATCTGTCTCTATTTTTAAGATATGGTATTGTAACTATTTACACTATTTACATTGTTCGGACTGTTGTCCGCATCTTTATTAATATATTCACGACGTTTCGGTCGTTATACGCTCTGGCTTTCTTCAGAATCGGTATTTATAAGATATGGTATTGTAACTATTTACACTATTTACATTGTTCAGACTGTTGTCCGCATCTTTATTACTATATTCCCGACGTTTCGGTCGTTATACGCTCCGGCCTTCTTCAGAATCTGTCTCTATTTATAAGATATGGTATTGTAACGATTTACAGTATTTACATTGTTCGGATTGTTGTCTGCATCGTTATTACTATATTCATGACGTTTCGGTCGTTATAGGCTCTGGCCTTCTTCAGAATCTGTCTGTATTTATAATGGTATTGTAACTATTCACACTATTTACGTTGTCCTCATCCCTATTGTCATATTCACGTGGTTTCGACCATAGTACACTACAGCCTTCTTCAGAAATAGTAGTAGGAACCTCGAACCATGGGGGTAGAAAGAGAATAAGAAAACTGATAATGGAGAGGACTGAGGAAAGGACACAAAAAGAAGACAGCAAATTTTTTAAGTTTGTAGTTATCAGTGAAGCAAGAAACGGGAAGGGAGTTCCACAGGAGGTAAGTGCGAGAAAAGAAACTGCGAGAGTAGAGGTAGCGTTTGCTTCTAGCTAGTCTAACTGTAAAACGGTGATGCCTAGTTGACAATCTAGTTGTCAGAACAGCAGAACAGTCTCCATGAAAATATTTCTAGAAGAGACAGAGACTAACCACAGTCCGAACGATGTAAATCCTATATAAAGTGATAGAAGTTCTTAAAAACAGAATATGAACATAGTTTACTAATCTGTCTTTTTTGCGTTGTTAGTACTAATGATCAGAAACTTGAATTTAAAAATAAAAATTTCTTATTTTTTTTCTTTTCTACCTCTTGCTTATGTAAATCATTTGCATTTTGTTTTACATAAAACATGGCATAAACAAGACACTTTCAAACAAAATATAATTTTTTAAATCGATTTTCCCCCCAAACACTCCATTAAAAAACAATTGTATTTTGTTTGAAAGTGACTTGTTTATGCCATGTTTTATGTAAAACAAAATACAAATTAAAACAATTCTTAATATTATTTTTTTTTTAATTCAAAGTAACTTCTTATGGAGGTTCACGTTGCATTCTCAGAAAGCCAGGTTTGCCGTTTTTCGGAATTTTCGTAAATTTAATTTCGCCGTTACACATTTGAACCAATTTATGTACAACACTTGTATATCGTTATAATGGGGCCTCACATCAGTGAGGGGGGGGGGCGGTGTGCAACTGAAATCGTTGAGAGGAAGGCCCCGAAACGGTGCACATTCTCTCCTGATGACCCCAGTTTAAATATATATTCGAGAGGAACACATCAAAATTCAGTGAAGTCATATGCCGTAGAGAAGCTCGGTGGAAGTGTCATTGGCATGAGGAGCATTACACATTCAGCTCACTTCAGGTGAGTTTCAATTACTTTCCAGTAATTTCCTTCTTCTTCTTCTTACTGTGACTTTCACTGTTCGATAGGCTAAAAGGTTTCGTAGCTGATAATCCAAAACTTGTACTTGTGAGTAGTTTTTTTTTTGTATTTCTTTAAGGCATGGGCTACCAGGAATCCTTTCAAAGAGTCTATCGTAACATTTTCAAATAAATCTGTGGGCTCCAACTACAAATGGAATTATTGATGCTCTCATGTGCTCCATGTTTTAGATTTCCATTTCAAAATCCTTGTATTTTTGGTAGTTTTTTGAAGATCTTTAAAGATACCTTACAATCTGTGGGGATTGTCATGTCATTAAGAAAACACATTCTGTTTTATTATTATTATTATTATTATTATTGATTGATTGAGAGAGAGAGAGAGAGAGAGAGAGAGAGAGAGAGAGAGGTGAATTGGCATGCCAGCAAAATGACACTGGAATAGAAATATACGAAACTCAACAGATCCATCGTGATATCCAGCCTGATAAGTGTGTAGCAGGCATATGCATCACAGCCAAATATGTGTAATATCGAAGCAGGTTTTGTTAAAAGCAGTGCGTAAACTTTCAGTTGGAATTCAGTTAACAATACCTCCAGGACGAGTTGGCCAAGTTGGCTGTCTCCGATCAAGGATGTTCCCAAGTATCGAGATGTGGCTCTTAAATCCTCTTGGCTGTTTCATTCTTCAAACTTAAAAAAAAAGAAACCTCTCGAAACCCGGCCATCTCAATAACAGAGATGTTCAGTCTGACAATCCCGAGCGTACATACCCAACTGGTGAGGGTCAGGCAAAATGTACTGAACTGGATATTTACTTAACGCAACAAATTATATAGAACTTATTTCGATTAACCGTGTTACTTAAAACGATTACTTTACTACTTATAAACAGTTTTAGTTGGCAATAACATAAATGACAGATGGCTACAAGACACTGTTGATTATTTACGGTTAATTTGTTTAAATAAGGCACTTATCGTTTGCGTTACGGGGCAATAATTGTAAGTAACATGATACACTAAAATAAGTAACCAAGTAATCTTTTTAAGTGTTCTGAATATGAGTGCCTTTGCTTAATTTACTAAGACAAAGAATGTACCTGTTAACACCTCTCATCAGTTAAGATTGGAAACCAATGGAGCCATGCCTTTTTTATGATAGTTCACCTGATACAAGGCCTAAGGGTCACTCAAGTTAGAAGGTCACTGAGTGAAATTCTAAGGGAGGGAAGTAAGCAAGTGTTATGTAGGATAGATATTCTAGACTTAAAAAGACCAAGATTTTAGTTTTCATGGAAGCACCCTCTCGGGAGTTTGTTTCACAAGTAATAGTTCTGGGAAAGAAGCTGATTGGAACTTGCTTTTTATCCAAGGAGCACGAAGGGAAAGGCGGTGGTTTTGCTACCGCGAACGCGCCATGGCGAGTTCTAACTGTGAAGGCTAGATCTGGTGACCCTAAGGAATCTAACCAAACATTTGCCATAGCAATAGCGATCTAGTAGTGAAAGGTTGGCGACGTTTCGTTTGTGGGATAAGGGTTGCAGGGTGAAGAATAATTCGTCACCCACCAGCATCTGGATATTATTATTATTATTATTATTATTATTATAGCTGTGTACATATATCTAAAGTCTTTGTATCCCAAGACAACCATATTTAATGTTTAGTATCCCAAAGTTAACACATCCAGGTTTACCGTGTGAAACTTGAAATATCCAACCCAATATCTGGACGGCATACGGTAACATCACGTTGAAACGCCTCACCGAAGTTAAGCAACGTCGAGCCTGATCAGTACCTAGATTGGTAACCATTTGGAAATACCAGGTGTAAGCTTAGATGTGCGGATGCTATAAGGAAAAATAATTCGGAATTATTATTCGGAGAGCCGAGTTCCAATTCCCGTTGGGTCCATTATATTCACTTACGCGCATATACTATTGGGAAAGGTATGAATCCAACCCCAACTATGGGTTAATTAGTTAGATTTGTATTAGTAAGTCATCATTATCTAAAATAAATGTTCTTACAATCTAAAAATATATTCTGGCTTTAAATAACCTGCAAAGGATTGATAATCCGTAGAAAACAAATCAATAAAAAAAAAACTATGGAAGAAAAACCTTCAGAAGAATCCTAACGTCGCTATATACCACGTTCATTTAAAAAATATATATTATCTTTCATTTATGCGTCTGTTAAACTTTCAAAATCCTCATCTCATTGCAGAAAATGACATGTCTTCTGAACAGACTACTATCTTCGCATTGTCGCACGCCATCAACCCAAATTTGAGGCCAGGCGGGTATCTATGAGAGAATGATTTAGGTAAATATCCCAAAGTTTAGAATTACAAATTACAGTTCACTTGATTCGTCGTTCCGTTGGGAGAAGATTTGCCAAATTGGCCTTGTCGCCGAATCAAGTTACATCTTATACCGTTCTCACTCGTTCTCGCCTCTGTAAATGCGTGACATTTTCAATTTATGTTTTTATTTTATTTTATTTTTATTTTTTAGCCTTCGATTCAATAAACATTGACCTGCGTTTATATGGACTCTCGGGAATAATTTGCAAAGTTTTTTTTTTACGATACATCATGTTAAGTAATTATGGGTGCAAGATAAATCAAGGCACAAGGACGTATTCGGTGAGCCCTACTTAGTAACTAACTCGCTCACAACAGCATCCGATTTGAATAGATATATGCAACACTAATAAATAAAATAGTACAGGAAAGAAATAAATGAAATGTGAGGTTGAGAAAAGATAACTTCGTAAAAACTTCAATTTTAACTATAGTGTATGTAATAGTGCAGCCATACCTATTTACCTCCAGAGCATGTAATATTTCAATGATACGTGTGTTCCTCCAGTATATGTAATGCTTTAGCGATGCAGGCTTACCACCAGTTTATGTAATTATTCAGCTACACCTCTTTACCTCCAGTATAAGTAATGCA